GCAGAGAAAAACCTCTGATGGAAGGAGAGACCTTGGGCAGAGAGATGGAGAGAGGGTTGTGGAAAAAAAGGAGATGACAATCACACCAATCTCTTGCCCACTTTGTTATGAAATAAGCGTAAAGACTTCTGAATCCTCAAAGAAGAAAATATTTGTGGATTCTTTGATGCTCTCTGAGCTTGGTTGTTTTCTTGCAGGCATTTCATTACCCAACTAGGTAACATCATCAGAGTTAAGAGGGAATGAGGTTGGCTCTCTATTTATATACAAGGGGTTTGCCCTGTCAAAGTGGGAGTGTTTTTAGTGGTTCCTTGCTTAGGCTGTTGTTTATTATTAGCTTATTTGCCTGCATTGGTTTTACTGTTTTAACTTGTTTTATTGGATTAACAATAAACAACAGCCTAAGCAAGGAACCAAGACCTCTCTCACCCACTAACAGGGCAAGCTACCAGTATACAAGCAGAGAATAAACCATTCTAGTACTTCATTACCTAGTTGCGTAATGAAATGTCTGCAAGAAAACAACCAAACCAGCTTTCAGAGGGCACTAAGGACACCATTCTTAAGAACACTCTTGAGAACTTGATTGGAATGTTCTTCTTCCTTGAAATAATTTGAGAAGCAAATTCTCTTTCATCAGCATTGATGATTGATAAGGAAAAATTCAGACACGTGTCTCTGTCCAATATTAGCTTAACCAGGATGAAGAAATCGTAGGAAGATGTTTTCTGGAGAACAGGGGAAAACAATTTGAGGATGGGGGTAGGGGTGGGAGTTGGGCTGTGGTTTAAGAGCCATATTGTAGTTTAGCTACTTTTTGTCTCACCAGTCAGATAAACACGACAATCAGTCATGTGATTTTGAGAAATCAACTCTGGTCCATGAAAAAGGCCAGGCGAGATTCTGTCTTACATTGTCTTTCACCTTTTGAGGATAGTGACTTGAGGGTGGAACTATGTTCTGCCTTTCCATCACATTCTCCTTCACCAAACACATAAGCTCTCATACCTTCAGTGCATGGTGCCTGACCAATATTACTTTAGAAATGGGTCCAGTAACAAAAAATAATGGGCGCCTCCTAAAGGCCACAATTCTACAAGAGGTCTCCTGTAAGTCTTAGAACATGGAATAATAGGATTGGAAGGGACCTTGGGGGTCTTCTTGTCCAATCCTCTGCTCAAGCAGGAGAGGATTCTGGAGAAATAGTTGTCCAATCTCTTCTTGAAACCCTCCAATGATGGAGCACCCACAACTTCAGGACGCAAACCATTTCATTGATTAATTGTTCTCACTGTCAGAAAATTTCTCCTTGGATTGAGGTTGGGTCTCCTTTTAACAAGCTTCCATCCACCACTTCTTGTCCTGCCCTCAGATGCTTTGGAGAAGTGTAAAGAACAGAAATGTAAGGAAATGGAATATCATTGTCCACTGCTGTCTTTCTGACCTGAAAAGTGAATGGAGCCCAGCCGATGTGGACAAGCAAAGGAGATGAGAAGATGCCCTCACTAAGGATAGGAGCTCACAGAAGCATCTTTTCCAAAGCTCTCTTAGAGGTGGAGAAGAACAAGATGGCACAGATTCTCTTGTTCCATGAGTAGAAAATGAGTAGAATTTTATTTCAGCTTCAGGGAGAGATTCACTTTTTGTTGATCATACCAAAGACAATACCAGTTTTGGGAGCTCATGACAGACTGGAATGTCCTCGTGGTTCCGTTCACTCAAAGGAAATGGCTAGCAAGTTCAAGAGGAATAGCTGGTAAGTCCTGTTGCTTACCCACAGGATCTGACACCTGAGGCCGTTGCCTCATTCTGCCTAATGGAAAGGTTGGCACAGGCAATTCCTCCTAAACTGGAACTGACACCGCTCAGAAGACATGATAATTAATCATCTGGTGGGGTAGAAATGATCATGGCCTGGATAGAGGACCTGCTGTCCACACCTTCAATCTGTTGGACTTGAGAACTAATGCTCCATTTTGGAAGCTGGTTCTTCTTATAAAGAAAAAATATTGTCATTGGGTTATCATTTTCGCTCCATATATGGTGAGTTAGTAGTTATTGTTTTTAAATATTTGCAGTGCAGGTAGGGAATGGGCAAGATAATATGGGTGATGTGAGTTCTACACCATTATAAATCAAGCCATAAAAAAGGATTTACATCTGGTCTAGGGATGAATATGCAAGAGCCCTTTTCTCCCACCGATCAGACTTTACAGAACCTCACTTTTGGACTTTTCCAGAAGTCTATTTTACTCGGGTGCAGCATGTAGGCAAAATTAAAAGTAAATAAAGTAGCAGCTGCCTTTATGCTTATAAAAGTAACGGTATCTCCTTTAGGTCCAGTCAGGTCCACCTTTCAGGGGTGATGCTGATCTCAGTTTCTTAGTTGAGGGAGCTAATGGTGTCTGAAGATGCTTCCATGGTCATGTGGCTAGCATGGTTATACACCGAGATGCAGGCAATGCTTTTACTTTCCTGCCAAAGTGGTACCTATTTATCTACTTGCACCTGCACGCTTTTGACCTTCTAGGTGGGCAGGAGCTGGAGCAGGTAACAGGAGCTCATCCTGTCATGCAGGGCTTGGATCTCAAACTGCCGATCTTCTGGTTGACAAGCCCAGCATCTTAACATCAAGTGTTCTCTTAGATAAATTTCAAGATATATGAGCAGCCTTGTCTCAATAGGATGCACTCTAAAACGTGCGGGGTTACAATTCCCAGCATATATTAATGTATAGTGTAGCGTAGTATCATACAGAGGTAGCCCTCAACTTACAACCATTTGTTGAGTAACTGTAGGAGATCACAACAGCACTGAACAAAGTAACTTATGACCGGCTCTCACGTTTACAACCATCGTGGCATTTCCACGGTCACGTGATCAAAATTAAGGTGCCTGGCAACCAGATGGTTGCAGCATCCTGGGGTCACGTGATTTGTGATCTTCCCAGCTGGCTTTCAACTAACAAAGTCAATGAGGGAGATTGGATTCACTTAACAACTTACAGATAGTCCTCGACTTACAACAGTTCATTTAGTTACCATTCAAAGTTACAATAGCATGGAAAAATGTGACCTATGACCTTTTTTCACACTTATGACCATTGCAGCATACCCAGGGTCACATGATCGGATTGCTTCACAACTGGCTCATATTTATGACCGTTGCAGTGTCCTGGGGTCAATGTGATCTCCTTTTGTGACTTTCTGACAAGCAAAGTCAATGGAGAAGTCAGATTTCACTTAACAAGCGTGTTACTAATTTAACAACTGCAGCGGTTCACTTAACAACGGTGCCAAGAAAGGTCATAAAATGGGGCAAAATTTACTAAAACAAAGGTTCCCGCTTAGCAACAGAAACTTTGGGCTCAATTGTGGTCGTATGTTGAGGACTACCTGTACAGGATTCACTTAGCAACATCCATGGCCAAGAAGGTCATAAAATTGGACCTAACTGATTTAACGACCATATTGCTTAGCAACAAATATTTTGGTTCCAATTGTGGTCATAAGTCAAGGGCTACCTATAGTATACACCAGCCAGAATAGTCAGTAACTTCTCTACCTCAAAGAAGATGGTTGAAAGCATGCTGGACTTTTAAACTATTTCATATACATGAACCACATAAAGTTTAAAAGGGACGGTAAGTGTATCTCTGAGTCTGCATGTAGTAAACTTCTTGATTGCTTTTTAAAAAAAAAAGAACGAGTACAAAAATTGTTGGTAGGCAAATGTCTTCCCCAAAAGACAGTTAAATTCAGCGTCTCTCTCCCTGTTCTCTATTAAAAGGGAAAAAGTAACTACAAGTCCCATTTTCCTCTTTTGAGAACACTGACAACCTTCCTATTTCTAGGTGTTTTTTTTTCCTCAGACACAAATTAATTTTTTTCTCCTCTAATTGATGAGCTGGGATGGAAAAAAAAAATCCTCCATGGAATTTGTCATGTAGGAAGTTGAAGATGTGATTTCCGTTCATCTCTATAAAGGAATAGATGCTCTTTTTGGGACCAGTGGCCCACTGACCCATTGGAAGGACAAATAACCTATGTCAGAGGATTGTGGTGAGATGAATTCCTGTTATCTTCAAGATAAAATCCCAAGTCCAAATAAAGAGCTTTGAACCTGTTATTATTGCTCAGAACTATCCTATCTGCTCATGATTGAAGCCCCATGGATTTCAAGGGCAGTGGAATTTTGACTGCCTTAGTCTGGATCCAACCTTGAGCTTAACTGCAGCATTCTGGTGTAATCAAAATCTATTTAAATAAGCTTCCATTCTCACTGAAACCAGTGTAACTGAAACCATGATGCACCATTGTTGATACCGATTTTTAATAGGGTGTACTTTCTGGATCCAGCCCAGAGCTTCTGTCTAAACTTCATTTTTAAAAAGCCCTGCTGAAAAGTAGCAGAGCGTGATTGTTTTTTTTTAATGTTTGATCTTTTTTTCTTTTTGCTATAAATCAAATCGACTCTGTTCTCTTTGGAAACACTGCAACTTGCTCTTGAAATTTCCTTCGTTTTCATAATGTGAAGGTGGAGAGAACCATCCTTAATTTTACTCTGTTCTTTGCCTGCAGACTTTCCTTAGGATCTGCCCCTCCAGAATGAAGGAGAGGTGCACCACACTTTCTCACTCCTAAAACAGCCCCAAAAGACTGCAAAAATTCCAAAAACATTCCAAAGCCTTTGCTTAATTCATTCAAACCTGCAGACTGCCTCTCAGGTTCCTAATGCAAGCTCACTCATTTGCCTTCCTGCAAAGTGATTCTTTTCAGCCACGTTTCATTTCAAAGACCCAGTCGGGATGGAAAGCTTTTCCAGAATTGCATCTATCCCTTTTAAAAGCTGCATCCCCATCTGAGCTAAACCTGTATTTTTTTTCCCACACACCGGTCTCGGCGCCATAAGAACCTCAAAGCATTTTTAGACACACAGTCCTTCGGAGATATTCTGCTTCCTCTCTCCATTATGTAGTAGGGGAAAAAAAAATAACTTACTTGTTCTGGAAATCCTTCTCTTCTTCAGTGGCCTTTCCCAGGTCCCTCCATCTGCTGCACTGTAATTCCCCTTTCCAGGATATGAGAGGCCATCAAAGTCTCAGAGGTCCTTTTGGCATTCTTGGAGTGAAGAGGAGGACAACAACTAGGCGGTGAAAAAGGAGGAGGAAGAATATCCCGGCAGCAACATTCCAAGGGTGGAGTTGTGTTGCAAAGCAGCTTCCTAGCACACCCTTGGTTTTGTGGTAGATGGTAGAAGCTTGGAACTCTTCCAGTTAAGTAATGCAGGCACAGCAGCAAAGTATACAGAGCTCCAGATGTGCCCGAGTGATTCCAACATCCTTCATCAATGATGATGATGATGTCAGCCCTTTGTGCTCAAGTGGTAACATCACCTTGGCTGTGATGACTGGGGAAGATCATATTATGGGGTGGAAAGTTGGGTATTAAAGGCACTCGTGATGATGTTTTGAAGTGGGACTAGGTGGTTAGTTGGTGATGCCTCCAAGAGCATGTTATAGCATTGCTAAGCATTGTACCCAGGGCAGGAAAGCAGGAATCTTGGAGACTTCCGTTAAGAGTATTGATGCAAGCAGAAGGACAAATTATCTTGAGAACCTCCAGCCTCTTTTGCTTAGTGAGGACATTTGCCCCTACAGTTAGACAAACGCTAAGCAGCGGTCTTAATTTCTATGGCCATAGAAAATACAATAATATATTTTATTAATTTATATTTCCTATTTCTCAACGGCAAACATTTTCATTGACATTGGTCATCCAAGGTAGCCTAAGCCAACACTTAGCAAGAGTAGGATAAAGAGCAGGCAAGCAAAGATGTAATCCAAATGGTTGGTTGGTTTGATTAAACAGCTCAAATTGTGTGACTTATAAAACTCTAAAGAATCTAGGCTTACGAGGTCTGAAGACCTTATAATTACTTACAAACTTACCCCCCCCAAAAAAAACAACCCCTCCTTAGAAGTTCTCAAGACATAGTTCAATATGATCCTATGCAGATCTCCATCTAAGACTATCCTCCAGATGTCTTTACCTTTGGAGGTGAAGGTGCGGGGTGGTGGACAAAAGAGAAAGCCAAATTATGAAAGATAGTCTGCTCTTTTGTTCTCCATGGTGGCACAGTGGTTAGAATGCAGTACTGCAGGCTATTTCTGCTGACTGCCAGCTGCCAGCAGTTCGTCAGTTCAATTTTCACTGGCTAAAGGTTGACTCAGCCTTCCATCCTTCCGAGGTGGGTAAAATGAAGACCCAGATTGTTGGACGCAATAAGCTGACTCTATAAATTGCTTAGAGAGGGCTATAAAGCACTGTGAAGCAGTATATAAGTCTAAGTATTATTGCTAAGGGCTATTAACACATCCACAATGGAATTTGTAGGTGCCATCAAATTTTTTTCCTCCTCTATATACTAGTCTCCCAAGCTACATGGGTGTGAAGCAGCATAATATACAGACCAAAGCATCATATGGAGACCAAAGAGTAGCCAAAACAGATATTAAACCATCTGCACTTTAAACCAGATGACCATTTCATAGGCCTGCTGCCCAAATGAAATCTGTCATGGCATAGCCAAATGGCCCTGGATAGATTCTGCTCATATCCACCCTTCTTTTTTCGCTCATTAATTCATAGGAAATTAAGAATGTCTTCAAAGGATGCACTTCAAAGCAACTTTACTTTGAGCCAGGGAAAGTCCCTGATCACTTACGTCTCAAAGAACTGTGAGGTCCAACTGGGTTATCCATAATCAGATCATCAGACTGTGAGGCAAAGCGTGACTTTCGTTCCCTCCTTCTCCACCTCCCCATCTCCATCTGTGTAAGAATGAACTGCCCTGAAATAGGAAAAAAAATGTTAAGTGAAACCATCAAGGTCTCATTCCCCCCCCCCCCCAATGATCTGCCTGCCAGCTGCCCGGCTTAGGCATGTAGGCACTTGCAGGGAAAGGAGGAAAAAATGTTTAAAACACCTGTGAACTGGCACGCAAGTTTCAAATGAAAGAAGTATATATATATAAAAGCCAGAGCAGGTAGAAGCAGATTGTGTTATAAGCCAAGTAGTAGTAGGGCAAAGGAAGAAAGGGGAAGGCTGAGTAAGGAACAGCAGCAGCAAAAAACAACAAAAATAGAACAAAATGAGAAAACTTTGTGATGTACAGAATCTGTAAATAACCTTCTCTTTTCTCTGTTCGAACAGCAAATTATTTTTGTCACTTTATAGTCAATAAGGGAAAATAAGGAAACCTACCGCAAAATATCACGATAAAAAAATTATAAGAACTTAGAATCAGAGTCTTTTTTTGATCTTTTCCATATGTTGAGTGCAAATGTGTTTTGTCTGGGATGCCATCCTGAAAATTGAAATGGATTTTCCCTGACATAGCAGTGTGACAGGCTTGAATAACAATGGGTAATTCTCTTCCTAATGTTGAACCATGATGTATAGAGGGATGCATTAACAGAGGGATAGAATCAAGACCACATGAAGTATTAATACCACTTTACAATGCCTTGGTAGGGCCACACTTGGAGTATTGCATCCAGATTTGGTCACCACGATGTAAAAAAGATATTGAGACTCTAGAAAGAGTGCAGAGAAGAGCAACAAAGATGATCAGGGGACTGGAGGCTAAAACATATAAGGAACAGTTGCTAGAATTGGGTATGTCTAGTTTAACGAAGAGAAGGACAAGGGGAGACATGATAGCAGTATTCCAATATCTCAGGGGCTGCCACAAAGAAGAGGGAGTCAAGTTATTCTCCAAAGCGCCTGAAGGCATGACAAGAAGCAACAGGTGGAAACTAATCAAGGAGAGAAGCAACCTAGAACTAAGCAGAAACTTCCTGACAGTTAGAACAATTAACCAGTGGAACAACCTGCCTCCAGAAGCGGTGAATGCTCCAACCCTGAAAGTTTTTAAGACGAGACTGGACAGCCATTTGTCTGAAATGGTATAGGGTTTCCTGCCTGAGCAGGGGTTTGGACTAGATGACCTCCAAGTTCCCTTCCAACTTTATTATTATTTGAATATTTTTTAATTTACTGAAATTTTATTGTAGTTTACTACTTATTTCTTATTTTTAAGTTAAGCAGGGTTTATGCCAGGTCAGTTCAGATAGACACATAGTGAACACTTCTATTTATAAAGTTTTATAAATATACAGGTGGTCCTGGACTTACAACCACTTGTTTAACAATTGTTCAAAGTCACAATAGCAACTTATAATCAGTCCTCCCACTAAGGCCATTGCAGTATCTCTACAGTCACATGATCAAATTTTCAGCATTCCGCAACTGGCATGAATTTATGATGACTGGAGTGTCCCAGAATTCTGCAGCTGCTGTTTGCAATCTTCCCAGCCAGCTTCTGACAAAGTCAATGGGGAAGGATCCAGATTTGCTTAATGACCATGTGATTCACTTAACAACTGCAATGATTGGCTTCACAAACAGGGCAAAAAAGCTCATACAAGCAGGCAGAAATCACTTGCTTAGCAATGGAAATTTTGGTCCCGATTGTGATCATAAATCGAGGATTACCTGTAGTTAAAAAAATCAGGGCAATCTGTGTCTGTCTGCCTGTCTGCCTGTCTGTCTGTCTCTCTCACACACACACATATACACACATGAACACAGAGTCATGGATTCTTCCCTGTTGAATAAATACAAGAATACTGCACTCCAGCCAGCAGAATATCGACATAATTCTCTCTTGCTATGAAATCATTTCTAAAGCAAAAATTCTCTTTTCATCCAGCCAAAGGAGAATTGGTAGGGGGAAAAAATAAGCAGGATAATTTCTTTGCCCAGTAGTAGCTGAGTCACTGACATCTCCCATATGTTTTTTCCTAAATGGCTCAGAAAAAGTTGGAACTTGTTTCTCCCAGCCCTGTTCAACATATTCATCCCTGCCTATACAAAGCCATTGATGTTTAATTCAGATTGTATATTTAACTTTTTCTGGCCACCTCAAATCCTCCATCCATCCATCCGTCTGTCCGTCCGTCCGTCCATCCATCCATCCTACACAAGCATACAAAATGAAACCCAGAACTTTGAAGTTGCAGGTAAAACAAATATTCATAAAAAACCATTCTGTGCAACATTGATTATTGATTTATTCTTCTATATGAATTTTTATTTTCCAGGATTGCACACGCTGAACACTAGAAAGGAGTTTTTATTTGAAGGCTGAAAACATTCTTCTGCTTCATGTTGTCCATAAGAGGAAAAAGAGTTTATAAAAAGTCAAGAATGCTGCTGCAACTATCACTCTATGAGGGAGATGGGGTGTGTGTGTCTGTAAATATGATATGTAAATAAAAATAAACGATTGAAGTCATTTCCTTTTTTAATGTCAATGGATGTTCAAACAATTCATTCATGAGTTGTGGGTCTGCTCCTGTGACAGCTGAAGGGTTGGATCAAAACCCGCAAAAGGGGTGTTTAAAAGAGGTGGACCTTGCTTTGTGACACTGTCCATCATCTTGCTGATTTTGACACCACTCAGCCAACTCCCCCTGTCATGGATGCCATTCAAAAGTATATCTTGATGACTTGACTGTAGCGTCACGAAGAAAATTAAAAGCTAAGAATGAAATCTACAGAAACAGAATATTAGCAACACAATTTAGGCTAGTTCAGTGTTTACAACAGACCCATGTTCAGCTCAGCTCAGCTCAACTCAACTCACACATTGATCTGATTTGTTCACAAGCCAAGAGGTAACCAGGCATCATGCAAATGGAACAAGAATGATAGTGAATTAGAGGTGCCTCAATAAATATGGCATCTTGCTCAAATGAATCCAAACTTTCTGGATGAATGAATGGAGGGATGGGTGGAGAAAAATAAAAGGAGTGGGTGTGACACTTTTAACACATGAACGGAACCAAGCCAAGAAAGAACTGTGTTGTTATGAGGGATCTGTTTAGGTGAGAGCTCCAACACGTTGGCAGTCCCAGCAGTGTTATTAAATGTCTCTTTTTTACACGCATTGCCTATATAACTTGAATTATCACCCTGCTTATTATTTAGCAATTCAAACCCAGCTAGTATGGTTTTTAGAAGAATAAAACCAATATAGCGTTAGATTGCGTTTTAAAATGGGTGAGCTCTTCAGATGTTGTTAGAGGGAAAAGAATCCATGCCTTTCTTGTTTTTGGGGACTTTTAAACTCTTCCTCCAAGATCCTTTGGGAATGTAATAACCTTATACTGGTTATTAAACTATTTATGAGTTTTTGCAAGCCCGTAAGGCTCTCTATCCCATCTAACTTGACTTTTCCCCCCCCCCCCAAAGATGTTTTTAATTAAAAAAAAACCCTCCTGAAATTAAATGGGGAGCTGGCATCCCGCAAAGCAAACACTGGCCTCCAGCATCAAATTTATTTCCAAGTATGCCTCTGAAACCCACTCTGGCTTTGTGGGTTTTCTTAGAAAATAAAATGGCCGGCGACTCCAGGCCTTTTCTTGAAAAACAGTGTATGTATCCTGGGGAAAAGATAACAGTAAATGAAGAAGGGAAAGAATATTCTTAGGAGCTGGAGAAGGGATAGCTTCAGGAAGTCACCTTCTGATCAAGGAGGTGGCCAGTTTGGTGATTGGCCACCTGCACTATAACAGCCATTTTGTGGGTGTGACCCAAACAAATGAGGCTCTTTAGCTCCAAAATTGCATTCAAAGCGATATATTTATGCTTCCCCCTTTTGTTTTCTTCTTTCAACACACTTGGCGTAAGCAACATAATCCATCATGTTCTGCAGAGCCCTTTATCCAAGCTTGTTTTGCAATATCGGGTTTATTCCATTCTTTTCTTGATTTCTTAATTTATGTTTCACCATCTATAGCCTGAGAGTTTCTGCTTGGTTACAATTACTGGGAGATTTATGGAGGAAAGAAAAGAAGGCAGCAATTGATCCTCTTTTAAATAAGAGCATAAGTCTAACGTATCCTACAATGCCACGAGAATATTGGATTTAGTCCTCAGAGGCCATCCTTTCAGGTCTGTTCTGTCTTTGGGTTATCAAGCAGTCATGGTAAATCTATTGACACCTTACAAGGTAGGATTGCCTTCAATCTCTATTAGAGTCCTTCTTGCGTTTTTGAGACACTACAAAAAACCTAGAAAGACTTCAAGAATCCCAACTTGTCCAATTCAGTCTTTCCCATTATATAGTTGGACTAAACGTTCACCAGCTATCCTACAAATTATTCTCATTGGAAGAACTCAGCTCTTGGAACAGAGCTACTGTAGTTTTGGTTTTTTTGAAAGATGTGCGAATAAGGATGCTACTGTGGTACAGTAGCCGCCTCTGGCACACGTGCCATAGGTTCGCCACCACTGCTCTATACCATCTCAGACAAATGATTGTCCAATTTCTTCTTTAAAACCTCCAGTTTGTAGTAGCTGTAGTACTGCCAACGTATTGTCCTTTAAAACTCTATCCTAATTTCTGACTTCTTGCACCTGACATTTTCTGCACAGAGGTCTGATACAAGTATTTATGTTGCATGATTATGGCTATCACACAAATGTCTATGGAGATTCTCAGTCATCCAGGTCATGGTTGTCCCAAAGGTGCTTTTTTCACGAGGCAAGTGGACTTTCTTGTTTTTTTTTTGAAGACGTTTTGCTTCTCATCCAAGACGCTTCTTCAGCTCTTCAGCTCAAAACTGAAGAAGCGTCTTGGATGGGAAGCAAAATGTCTCTTGAAAAAGCACCTT